GTTTACCCTAGTTTATTATTATTTTTTTTTTTTATGTTTCCACATTTAATGACTTATTTATAATAATAAATAACAAAATTAAATACACTTTTTTCATTATAAACACCAAGAAATAAAACATATAAAATTAATAAAATTAAATAATCAAACTAAAATATAATTATTTTTATTATATTTTTTCTCATTTTAAATTGCTTACATTCATACGTTTTTTTTTTTTTCTTGGTATGAATAAATACCTTAAGCTGAAAGTAGTTTGATTTTTGCTTAGAAGCAACTGTTCTCCTATTTTTATTAACTTGATCTCAGCCTAAATTATTTAAAGCAAATCTAAAAACTAGGCAAACTATCAATACTATGCATGCATAATCTTATCAGCTAATCATATTTTAGTCTTAGTCTAAAAGAATACAGTTCATATAGATGAAAAGAACGCTCTCAGCTTACCCAGCGGCACGGCTAGACCGTAATGCTTTTCACCAATCGTTCCGCCGATTTGCCGCAAGTCGCAGTTCCGTTCAATGTTATATGTCAGGCTGGTGGTCTCCATGAGGAAGGCATAGTTGCCCTTCTCCTTGCGGACACGAGCGACGCCTTCCTTGTTGGTGCTGGTGAAGCCCGATGGATTGAAGCTCTTCATTTGGTTCCAGGCACGCTGATAGTCCGTATCATTCGATTCGGAGAAGAAGAGCGAAGTGCTGCCGCCGCGCATGCTGCCAAACTTCACCTCATCCTGCTCAATCAGATCCTGCAAACTGTTTATGCTGCTCTGCCACTTGTTGCTGGTCAAAAAGGCGGCCAAGTTCGCCGTATACGTGCTAAGCATCATCAGGGCAAAGAACCACCACATGCCAGTTAGGATGCGCATGTGTGGACCCCTGGAAGATGCACAGAAGTTTTTAGACCTGACTGAAATCCCTCACCAAGAGCAAATCGAACCTGGGCAGTATATCGCAACCCTGCTGCATAATGGAGCCAACCATTAGCCAGCAGCTGTTATTCACATTCCAGATATTCTCCAGCTCATCGGGATCAACTATAGCCGGATTTGGTGGCATCCATTCGCGATAGGAGAGCCTTGAATAATTTAGAATCAGATTCAGTTCAAGTGGCCAATGAAAATGCACCTGGCATTCACCTGGCAATCAGCACAAAGGCCAAGGTCATCACCAGCTGGGCAAAGATCATATAGATCCAGACCTGTGGCGCAAACGGCTCCAAGAAGGCGAACGGATTCTTCTGCTCCGGCGGACTCTTGTAATGCAATATACTAATGCCCAGCTGCATGAAGGGCACCGTAAAGTCCACGGCCGAACGACGCAGTTGGGTTATGGTTAGATCACAGACGCCAATCTGAGCGTGCTATGGTATAATAATGTATATATATAATAATAATAATATTATATCATAATATGAGATCTCTTAACTCAAATATTCCAGCCAACTCACATGATCTATTAACTTCCTTATTATGCCATCCCATTGCTTAGTCTCGGGATTATATTTGCCATTGCCATTCACAATCATAAACTCGTAGTCAAACTCCATGAGTTCGGATAGCTTTCTAATAAGATCCACCGCATAGCCCTCATACTTTTCCTGTCCCCTGAAATTCTCATGATCTTGCCTGCAAATACATAGATATATACAGTTAATTATAAAGATATATCATCACTTTAGCCACTTTTACCCACTTCATCATAAAATACGGCTCCTCATGATGCGTCACCACGGTAAAGACCTTCCGCTGTACCGAGAAATCCGGCGTAACTATCGCACTCTCCAGTTCCGGGTTTAGACGTCTCACTTTGATGCCATTGTCCGGCGTCCACACCATCAGCGGCTCATTCACTGTAGGTTTATAGATTTCCAGATTGAAATGGGTTCGCTGGCCGAACTCGTTGATTTTCATATTCTCCGTCTTGAAGTTCGGCTCAACATCGTCCTCCGATATGGTCTTCATCTCCTGCACTATATGAGCACCCATTATCCAGGTGCTGGCAAAGCCCAGACCACAATGGCTATTGGGCGGATAAAATTGTCCCAGCGAAGCGATCACATTGCGCGCCGAGTTGGCAAAGAGCACGACAGCATCGTAGATGAGTATGGGCAGCATCATTTGACTGCCAAGGATTTTCTAGAATAGATAACACTAGATAATCGTATCTAATATATCAGCTCTCAGCCCCTACTTACATCAACTGGAGTTAGGCGCGTCTTCTTGCGCGCATAGGGATTGGGATCGACAATTTTCAACCGCACCGAGGTTATATTCGCCTTGAAGTCCTCATTGTAAATGTCCTTCAAACCCGAACTATGCGTATCCAGGTGAGTGAGAAACCAGTGCTGAAATTTTTAAGTAATTTGAGTTTTTTTATGGATTTCTGTCGGTCAACTGCTCTACTCACCCTGAATGGACCTTGCAGCTTAAAATCAACGGAGATCTTTAGCAGTTCTCTCAAAGACTTCGGTTCACAGTCCAATATTATGTGATGCTCGTGAAATGTTTCGTCTGCTTCCTTCCATAGCACGCGATAATCCTCAGCATAATCTGCCAAATTTCGTAGTTTCAGATAGTCCGTATTCAGGGCGTGTATGTTCATAAGATCTTGTAAGCGAGCCAGACCTGGAATGAAAGTATATTTCTTACAATACATGGTTATAGATTACTATCACTACTATATATGTCTTCTATAAAGTATGTAAAATATCAGGTTCAGCATTAGAATATGAGTCGATTTCGCCCTTTTGGCTGCCGGTCCGTCTAGTCGTTCATCTATCTAGCTATCTGTCTGCCCATCCGTCTATCCATCTGTTTGTCTGTCCTTCAGCTCTCTGATCCGTTCTGTCGTATTTTTCTATCTGTGCGTCTATTCATCCTCCGTTGCGTTTCGTTCGTCCCTCTGTTCATTCATCCGTCCCTCAGACAGTTCGTCTATTCCGTTCTTCTATACATCCGTTCATCCTCCGATGTATTCATGCATCTGTGCGTTCTTCTGGCCTGTCGTTTGACCGTTCGTCCGTCTGGACCTCCCTCCGTTTATCCATCCCTTCGTCTGGCCATATGTCCTGTCTATTCGTTTGCTCAGCCGTCCGTGTATCCGTCTATCTGTCTATTCGTCCTTCCGTATGCTGATCCGTTCGTCTATCTGATCCAGTAGTCCGCCTCATCCATTCTTCCGCCTGTTTATTCACTCCTCTGTCCGTTCATACGTTTCTTTGTTCGACCGTCTGTTCGTCCCTCTATCTGTCCAACCGTTCTCCGATCCATCTCTCCGTTCTACGTCCATTCGACTTCTGTCTGTCTTCTGTCTTGTCTGTGCTTCTTTCCTGTCTCTACTTCTGTCCTGCCTGTCTATGGGTATCGTCGTACTCTGCAACTTCCACCCACGACCTTTAATCCCATTGATATCTGCTGCTTCTGCCGCATAAACATAAATCTCAATTGGGAATAGCATTACTCAACTTACCCTCTGGCGTTTCATAGATTAACGTAAATGTGCGCCACTCGTAGTTGGTTTTGATGATGTCGTAATAGGCACGCGACAGAGCGGACAAAGCAGGTGCGACATTCACCGTCATTTGATTATTCAAATGCTCCTGCCGCGTCGCCTCGAGCTTCCAATCGTATTCTATGTGTGGAATGCCGGTCGTGTTAGCGATTTGCGCTACAATATCTGGGCGAACAACGATTGCAAAACACACAGAATTCAACAACATCTGTTGATCAATGAAATTGAAACACACTAGGCCACTCGTACATACCACTAGCTGCCTTTGAACTTGGTCCGAAAATAGCCGCAACGCCATTGGAAATCAGTTCACATGCTAAACCGGAACATATATAGATATTTGTATACATACATATATGAAATATTGAGTGAAACACTTACTGATCTGCTGCAATAGGAAGCTATCGTTGGTGGGCATATAGCGTTTGATGGTGACAAACTGTAGATCCGAGAATTTCAGATTGTTGACCTCACGAAAGGCCTGATCGAAACTCAGTTCGATTTCCTTTTCATTTTCATAGAAAATAGCACCTGAAAATTATTTTCAAATAATATTCATTTTAATTTGTATTGTTGTTTTTATTTATAAATATTGATTTATGGGGAAACATACCAACTGGAATTTTCGTATTTTCCTCGACGCCCATGGCGAGGGCATATTTTAAAAATAACACCAAATAAATGTTGACTGGATACAAATGCATTTTGTTTCATTTCAAATACAACGAATTTCTAGTTAGACAACGCACTCCAATTGGATTTTGCTAAATGCAACAGCCATTTCATTTAGTTATATACATAGATTTATATATTTTTGTATATTTATGTATATTGTATATACACTCGAAAATTACGTAAAATTTTCAAAAGTTTTTATTTTTTGTTGATTTTCTATATATATATATATAAAGAAATATATGCTTTACTTTCGAATATTTTCAGCTGTTTGCTCCAAGCGACCGCAGCATCCAGTCTTGGAGCGCTAAGCACGCACACTGACCAACCGACCGGCCTAACTGTATCCGCTCTCCATCCGCCAATGCTCATCTCAAAATGCTGTGCTCTGCTCTACCCTGCTCTGCTCTATGTGCTCTCTGCTCTTGGGGAAATGCCATCTGCCATCTGCCTTGTGCCATGTGCCTTGTGGCATGGTCATATTTATGGCGCCTGACAATGACGTAGGCGGCATCCAGTCTGCCGTGTCTTTGCCATTCTCAAATTTATTTATTTTATTTTCTTCCCATACACACAATTATTCACTCTCTCAGTCACTCATTTAATTCAGTTTGTCAGCAGCTTTTCGTATTGTGTGCCAAATATTATGATGCTCGTGCCTTTGTTCGATCTTGGCAACAGTTTGATCTTTTAAGAGCAGCACTTGATCGCTCTTTCATCTTTACAAGCATGTTTTTGGTTGAACAACTTGATTGGGGCATCAGCGAAATTCCAATGCGAATGTCTTTGGCAATCAGGCAAATCACACATGTTTGTTATCTTAATTCTTTCATTGATCAATTGAGAATACCCCAATTGTTGCATATGTATATGGTTTTTGTATTTGTAGAAACCAAAGTCTTTCAATTAACACATTTAGAAAATTATGGATTTACATGCTAAAATATATTTCTATTACGGGTAAAAGACATCTAGATATTTCTTCGCCCGTGTGATATATTATTCATTTAAAAGGCAACATAAACATTCCATGCTGTTTAATATGTATATAAATGTGTCTCTTGTTGTATATATGTATAATTTTGTGTAAATGACATCTTGGCATTAAAAATTTCTATGATTGAATTTTTTAATATTTTTTTAAATTAATATTTTTTACATGTACATTGCTTTATTTATGTCAATTTACTTTTATATATTTGTTTTTATATTTCTAGTGAAAAATTCATGTAAAAAGTAAATCTTTATACACTTTTTA